CATTTTACGTTTACGTTTTTTTTTTTGTTTCCTTGTGGTGGTTGCTTGAGACCTTGCCAATTTACAATTTGAAAATTTTTGTTTGTCTGGCAAAATGGCAAAAAACGAAAATGTGATAAGAATCGGCTTCAAAATCACATTCGTACAATGCTGTTTCCTTGCGGCACAATGGAGTGTGCCACATATTTTTTTCGCACACACAGAGCAGACAAATGTTTGTATCTGTAAGTGAGTGTGTGTGCCGATATCAGACAGTTAAGATTTTTGCCAAGACATGTGGATAAGTGTTAACATAGCCACCCCAACCTCCAGCACCAGCACCAGCACCGCCACCATCATTGTCGTCATCATCATCCGGCGACCATTACGATAACAAGCATATTAGATACTCGGTTTGGCATCGTCGACATCGTCTTGGAATGCCAAATACCACAGCGACAAAATTTATTTTCCAAGGAGTTTTTTTTTGTCTGCAATTTGTGGCATAGAAATACGCCAACAATGTTAAAGGAAAATTCTTCGATAGTGGCTAAGAGGGGGGAGGGAGAAGCAGGGAAGGAGGCGAAGCCCATGAAGATTGAGATGTCTGCTGTCTAAGATTTCAAGATAAAATTACCGAACAAATGTCACCTGACTATGTCGTCGAAAAATAATAGTTGGTTTGCTGGTTTGGTTCCGATGGCTGGCGGCCAGGCTGGCTAAATGACTGCCTGACAGGCTGTGGGTAGTTTGTTATTTGCGGCTTGTTAGCTTTTGAGAATTTGTCAGCAATTGAACAGCAACAACAACAACATCGACAAAAATGTTATTTTCTATGACTATCTCCAACTCATTAAAACTCATTTGTTATAGACCGGACCACTAATTGCAGTGGCTGTCTGTCTGTCCGTCCGTCTGTCTCTCAGATATTTTAATGAGTTTTTGAATCAAATCATTTGATTCAAGGTCATTTGGCATTTTGAATTGAATCTGCAATTTCTTTTCATCAATTTTGAGGAAGCAATTCAGTGGAGTGTCGAAGAGACTCTCACACACACACACACACACTCATACATACATAAATACTCACCACTGGTTCTTTGAAGTGTCAAAAGCATGCTCAGCTTTGTAGTTCAAATAGCAACTCTGTCAATTGTTTTGAAGTAGAAGATGAAGAAGACTCAGCGTAGACACAGTTGTTCAAAGCTGTTTTGGATTTGTTTTGAAGTGGTTTGGCGGCAATTATTTCAATACAAATGTTTCACAAAATAAATAAAATAAAAACAAATTATCGATTAAAGAATGTCAGGCAAAGCAGTAGCAGCGTCATCATCGTTATTTGAAATAAATAATATTTTTATTTGCTTCAAAACTTGATTTGATTTATGAAACAAGATTGTATTTCAAATTTTGAAATACAATGGGAGTATTGAAAAAATATGTGGAGGTATTTTTTTCTACCTTGTTATCGACCAGATTTCTTTAGAGAACTTTTGTTATCGTTTGGATTTTTTAATAGCAATGTTGTTATCGGTTTTTCCTTATAGAAATGTTGTTATAGATCCAATTTTGTTAAAGAAATTCAGTTATCGATCACATTTTCTTTAAGAAATTCAGTTATCGATCAATATTTCTTCAAGAAATTCAGTTATCGATATGTTTTTGCAAGAGAAGATTGTGTATCGATAACTTTGTGTTATATAAATGTTGTTATCGACACAATTTCTACATAGAAAACATTTTATCGATAATTTTTAAATATGAAAAAACATGTTATCGTTTAATTTTCTGTGTAGAAAATCAATTATCGAATAGATTCCTTTATAGAAAATGTATTATCGAGAGATTTCCTTTAATTTATAGATAATGTGTTATCGATAGATTTTCTATATAGATAATGTGTTATCGATTAATTTTCTTTACAAAAACCTAATTATCGACACGTTTTCTCTACAGAAAACTTTCTATCGATACGTTTTCTGTGCAGAAAACAAATTATCGATAATATTTTTCAAAGTAGACGTGTTATCGAAAGATTTTCTATATAGATAATATATTATAGATTAATTTTCTTTACAGAAATCTTATTATCGATAACGTTTCTTTGTAAAAAACTAATTATCGACAAGTTTTCTACACATAAAAATAATTATCGACAAGATTTTTCCACAGAAAACTAATTATCGAAAAGTTTTCTTGTATATTATGTATTATCGATTAATTTTCCTTACATAAACTTTATTATCGCTAAGTTTTCTTTTTTATAAACTAATTATCGACAAATTTTCTTCACATAATAATAATTATCGATACCATTTTTCCATAGAAAACTAATTATCGACAAGTTTTCTTCACATAAAAATAATTATCGATAAGATTTTTCTACAGAAACCTAATTATCGATAAGTTTTCTCTACATAAAACTTATTATCGATACGTTTCCTCTACCGAAAAGTAATTATCGAAAGGTTCTCTTTGCAGATAACTAATTGTCGATAAGTTTTCTCTACAGAAAACTAATTGTCGATAAGTTTTCTCTACAGAAAACTAATTATCGATAAGTTTTCTCCCCGGAAAACTAATTATCGATACATTTTCTCTACAGAAAACTAAGTATCAATAAGTTGTCGCTACAGAAAACTAATTATCGATACGTTGTCGCTACAGAATCGATAAGTTTTCTTAATATCGATATATTCTCTCTCAAGAAAACTAATTATCGATTAGTTTTCTTCCTAGAAAAGCAAAAATCGAATAGTTTTCTTTAGAAAAAACTAGTTATCGATGTGTTTTCTTGATGGTAAACTAATTATCGATACGATTTCTTGATAAAGACGACTATATCGTTAGATATTCTCTCTAGGAAATGTGTTATCGATGTTTTTTGTTTATGGTAAACTAATTATCGATACGATTTTTTTGATAGAAACGACTTTATCGATAGATATTCTCTCCATGAAATTAATGAATCGATAAATATTCTTTATAGAAAAATAGTTATAGATTAGTTTTCTTAATAGAAAATGTTTTATTAGCATTTTTCTAGTATAGAATATTCGACATATTTCGTTATGGAAAATCTGTTATCGAAAATTTTTTGTTATATTGGAATGTTTCTAGCATAGAAAACTAGTTATCGATAATTTGTCTTTATAGACAAGTACGAATCGGTAAGATTTCTCAACAGAAAACTAATTATCGATTAGTTTTCTTTATAGACAACTAAATATCGATTAGTATTCTATAAAGAGAGCATACTATCGTTTAGTATTCATGAATGAATAATTATTATCGATTTATATTTCTTATAAAAAACATATTATCGATTAATTTTATGTTCAGAAACCCAGTTATCGATAAGTTTTCTTTATAGAAAATGACTTATCGATACATTTACATAATATAAAACTACTTATCGATTAAGTTTCTTCATAGAAAACTAATTATCGATTTGTTTCTTTAATGCAAATTTGTTATCGACATGTTTTTTTTCAGAAAAATCTAGTTATCGATAACTTATCCTTATGGACAACTATAATTATCGGTATGATTTCTTGATAGAAAATGTGTTATTGATAGCTATTATATTAAAAACTGGATTATCGATTATTATCTTTAACGAACATTTGTTATCGACATGTTTTTTTTTTAGAATAAATGTTGTTATTGATAAAATGTCTTTATAGACAACTATAATTATTGGTATGATTTCTTGATAGAAAGTGTGTTATCGACAGCTTTTATAGTTTTTTATATAGTTTTTGAATTATCGATAAATTTTCTTTATTGAAAATCAATTATCGATTAATTCTCTTTATTGAAAACCAATTATTGATTAGTTTTCTTTATATAATTGTCATTATCGTTTGAGTTTCTGTATAGAAATTGTGTTATCGAGAGATTTTGCTAATTTTTTTTTCTTTACCAAAAATACTGATTATCGAAAATATTACGCCATTATTTTAATATTTTCTACATCAACAATTTTTCGCAAAACAAAATCCCATTTTTATTTTATGATTTATTGAAAAGAATTCTAACTAAAAAACTAGTTTTGGTTAATAAAAAATATTTTTTTTTTATTTTTTCAAAACAATGTCAATGTCTCTCTCGGGTGTCATCATTCCGATAGATGACAGCTGATGCACTAAAAACTAAAAAATTCCATAGAAAAAATTTCAAAATAATTATCATAATAAATAATTGAGCTATTTATTTTCATTCACTATGCAAATTAATTTTTGTAGTTATGTGCTAGAATTTTTAACACAACTGCATTTACTGCCCGGGGGGGGGGGGGGGTCTGTAATTGTTGTTGATAGTTTTAATAAATATTATTAATGTGTGAATGAAAAATGATATTTAATTAATACCAAAGAACGAAAAATAGCAAAATTATTCAAATCACGTATGGCTATTAAAAAAAACTAAAATTATGGTCAATGGTTTGGTTTGAAGTGATTTTGGCCGCTTGGCCACCCTCTGGCCGTACATGGAAAGGCATTTAATTTTACTCTTATGGTCATAGTTATAACTATTAATGACAAATAATAATAATTATTTATTGAATTTGAATTTATTATTAAAAAATATATATTATTAAAATTTATAGTTTTGTTTGTTTTGAATTCGAAACTCACGATTTGGTTTTTTTTCTACAAATGGAGATTTTAATTATTTCAAATATTTTTTTTTAATATTTTTTTGTCATGATTTCGATAATTCAAATCAAAATTGTTGATTGTAAAAAAAATATTAAAAAATATATACATACATACAATATATAATATATACCTATATGGTGTGTTTTTATTTTTTTTGTATCCGTGAGATACTCTGGCTTTATTATTTGAATTACCAATTCATAAATGTTTGTTTTTTGTTTGCTATTATTTTTTATTCTCCCAAACATTTATGGCCATTTATTATTGGCCATAAATACTCAGTTTATTGTTAATAATATGTAATTTGTATTCATTTAATTTTTATTGTTTTTGTTTTTTCTTTCTGTCTGTTTCCAGGTTACCACAGTTTACACTCTATGCCAGGATTATTTTTTTTATGATGGTAAGTAGCAATACTCTGCATTTCGTATTAATAATAAGAGGTTAATGAGAGAGAGTGGGAGAGAGAGAAAAAACAGGGAGAAGAGTATTAATAAATTACACGTGCTGTTATATTCAATTAAGATAATATGACAAATGATCAAGCCAGGGTTGGGAAGTTGAAATTTACACAGAGAAGAGCCATGGGCTCCTGGATAGGGGACGGGGATGGAAGGCCTGAATTACAATTTATTACAAAATTGGGATATCAAAATGAGAATCCAAAATACAAAATACCACCAATTCGATTCGAAAAACGAACCCAGGATACCAAAATAAGGAAATTTGGAGAGTTCCGTTAAAAGGAGGCAACCCTAAAAAGTGGACCAACATTTATAATTTTTGGTACGAAGATTTGCTACCCAATGAGAAGCCAAAATACCAAATTATAGCTCATTCGTTTGAAAATCAAGCCCAAGACCCTCGAAATATCGAAAATTGAAGGGTATCGTTATAGGGGAGGTACCCTAAAAAGTGGATCAAAATTTATCATTTTTGGTACAGAGATTGGCTACCCAATAAGAACCACAAATACCAAATTAGAGCCCATTCGCTTAAAAATCAAGCCCAAGATCCTCAAAATATCGAAAATTTGAGGTACCTTTATATGGGAGCTACCCTAAAAAATTGACCAATATCGATAATTTTTGGTGGGAAGATTTGCTACCCAATAAGAACCCCAAATACCAAATAAGAGGCCAATCGGTTGAAAAACGTGCCCAAAATCTTCAAAATATCGAAAATCGGAGGTACCTTATATTGAAGCTACCCTAAAAAGTCGACCAATATTAGTAATTGTTGGTACAAAGATTTGCTATCCAATGAGAAGCCAAAATACCCAATTACAGCCAATTCAATTGAAAAAAAGTGTCTAAAATCCTCAAAACATCGAAATTCGGTAGGTACCGTTATATGGGAGCTACCCTAAAAAATTGACCGATATTAATAATTTTTGGTACAAAGATTTGCTATCCAATAAGAAACCCAAATACCAAATTTGAGCCAATTCCGATGAAAAACGTGTCCAAAATCCCCAAAATACCGAGATTCGGTAGGTACCATTATATGGGAGCTACCCTAAAAAATTGACCAATATTAATAATTTTTGGCACAAAGATTTGCTATCAATGAGAAGCCAAAATACCCAATTACAGCCAATTCGATTGAAAAACTTTTCCAAAATTCTCAAAACATCGAAATTCGGGAGGTACCGTTATAGGGGAGCTACCCTAAAAAGTTGATCAAAGTTAATAATTTTTGGTACAGAGATTCGTTACTCTCTAAGAACCCAAAATACGCAATTACAGTCAATTCGATTGAAAAACGTGTCAATTATCTTCAAAAATACCGAAATTCGGGAAGTATCGTTATATGGGAGCTTAAAATGTCGACCAATATTGATTATTTTTGGTACAGAGAATCGCTACCCAATAAGAACCCAAAATACCCAATTACAGCCAATTCGATTGAGAAACGTACCCAAGATCTCCAAAATATCGAAATTCGGTAGGTATTGTTATGTGGGAGCTACCCTAAAAAATCGACCAATATCGATAATTTTTGGTGGGAAGATTTGCTACCCTATGAGAAGCCAAAATACCAAATTACAGCCAATTTGGTTGAAAAAATTGTCCAAACTCCCCAAAATTCCGATAATCGGGAGGTACCTTTATATAAGACGCATCCGAAAAAATTGACCAATATTAATTATTTTAGGTAGACAGCTTTTTTACACAATAACAACTCAAAATACCCAATTGTAGGTAATTTGCTTGCAAATCGAACTCAAGATCCCCAAAATATCGAATATTGGGGGTTGACGTTATATGGGGACAACCCTAAAAAGTAAACCAAAATTGATATTTTTGGTACTGTGATTAGTTAGCCAACAAGAACCCAAAATACCAAATTAGAGGCCATTCGCTCATTTTTGGCACAAAGATTCGCTACCCGTTAAGAACCCCAAATACTAAATAAGAGACCATTCGATTAAAAAACTTCAAAATATCGAAATTCGGGAGGTACCGTTGTATGGGAGCTACCCTAAAAAGTGGATAAAAATTCATAATTTTTGGTAGAGAGATTCCTTACCCAATAAGAAACCAAATTACCCAATTACAGACAATTCACTTGAAAAACATGACTAAAATCACCAAAATACCGAAAATTGGGGGGTTCCGTTATATGCACGCTATACCAAAACGTGGACCGATATATATCATTTTCAATTTCAAACATCCTTAGGGAGCCAGTAACATTTGTGGAAAATTTCAAAACTCTATGCTAAATATTACGAGCTATATCGTGAATTCAATACAATGGCGCTCAACGTCAAATAATATGAAAATATGCGCAAATAAAGAATTTGAAATATAATGCAATCAATGATCAAAATAATACAAATTTTTTCCCCGAAAATCCCTTTGATCAATTTTTTTCTCAAGTATTTCCCTTCCGCGCGCACACACACACAAAACAACAAATGACATTTCTTCCGATTGCTATGAATTTTGAGATTCATCCGACAACAACAGTAGATTTCCTGGTCATACTTGTTTGATGTTTGCTTGAATGACGGCAGCGTCGATAGGTAATCCAAAACCCGTATGGGCCAAGCCCCCAGCTCCCCATTACCGCATGGGGACAAATGAAAAAAAATGCCACGCCACAAAAACCACCACAGCAAGCAGGCCACCTAATTTTATGCAAACCCAAGTTTTATTTTTTTTCTCCGATTTTAATCCTTGCCTCAGACAGTTTGTCTAATAATATTTTTTTAAACACCCCAGCCGAACCTACAACACCATCAGCCAGCCAACCAGCCACCCCTCAGCTGAACGAACCTCCTTGTTCATGTAATCTTGGCAAGGCATTGCTTAAGATTTTATTTTCAATATTTTATTGTTGTTGTTTCTGCGTCACAGACAACAACAAATACGGTTGTGGTCAGGCAAAAAAAAAAGGAGGAAGAAGAAGAAGAGGAAAAAAATATGAAACACATTATCCTCAGTTGCGGTATAGAAATGGAGAAAAGTGTGTAGAAGAAAAAAAGACGTACGGAACGGAACGGTAATAATAATGACATTTGTGTGGTCAGAATAGCGTTAATATGGCTTGGGCCAAATCAGGACAGACGTTAAGTACATATGCAAAGACACAAACACACACATATATACATACATATGCATATAGATTTGAGCAGTTGTGCAAAAATAAAATAGCAGAAAAAATGGAAAAATGTTCAGCTATTTAATTTATGCAAGAAATTATTATTTTATATTGTCTCATGTTGGGCGCCACTTTTTTGAAATCAGGTTAGATATCGGAAATACTTAAGATAGAGCTTTGCAATTTGGCTCAAACATGGCTGGCCCCTTTATGATGTTTGAACTCGGAAATGGTATATATGGGTCCACGTTATGGTAATCCCCCATAGAGCGGAACACCCCAATTTTCGTTATTTTGGGAGTTTTGGAAAATTTTTTAACGAATTTGGCTGTAGTTCAGTGTTTTGGCTTCTAATGGGATAACGAATCTCTGTAACAAAAATTATCAATTTTGATCCACATTTTAGGATAGACCCCATATAACGTTACCTCTCAAATGTCGGCATTTTTTGGATCTTGGGCTCGAATTTGGCTGTAATTTAGTATTTGCGGTTGATATTGTGTAGCGAATCCATGTACCAAAAATGATTAATATTGGTCGATTTTTTAGGGTAGCTCCCATATATCAGAACCTTCCAATATTCGATATTTTAGTTACGTTTTCAGCCGATTGGGCTCTAATTTGGTATTTAAGATTCTCAATGCGTAGCAAATTATTAATTATTAATATTGGCCAATAGGGTAGGTCCCATATAAAGGTACCTCCCAAAGTTCGGTTTTTTGTGATCTTGGGCTCGTTTTTCAACCGAATTGGCTGTAATTTGGCATTTGGCTTTCTTATTAGGTAAGAAATCGTCCTACCAAATACTATGAATATTGGTCCACTTTTTGGGTAGCTCCCATATAACGGTTCTTCCCGATATCGGAATTTTGGGGATCTTCGTCACATATTTCAACCGAATGGACTCTAATTTGGTGTTTGGGTTTCTCATTGCGTAGCAAATCTTCATACCAAAAATTATTAATAATGGCAGTTTTTTTTTTTTTAGCGGAGCTCCCATATAACGGAAACCATCGAATATCGGAATATTGGGGATCTTGGGCACGTTTTTCAACGGAATTAGCTGTAATTTGGTATTTTGGGTTCTCATTGGGTAACAAATAGTCCTACCAACAATTATCAATATTGGTCGAATTTTTGGGGTAGCTCCCATATATGGGTACCTTCCGAATTTCGGTATTTGGGGGAGCTTGGGCTCGATTTCGAACGAATTGACTGTAATTTGGTATTTTAGGTTTACATTGGGTAGCATATCTTCACACCAAAAATTATTAATGTTGATCGACTTTTTAGGGTAGCTCCCATATAACGGTAACCACCGAATATCGGAATTTTGGGGATCTTGGTCTCGATTTTCAACCGATTGGGCTGTAATTTGGTATTTTGGCTTCTCATTGGATAGAAAATCTTCACACAAAAAATATTAATATTGGTCGATTTTTTAGGATGGCTCCCATATAATGGTACCTTCCGAATATCGGAATATTGGGGATTTTGGGCTCGTTTTCCAACCGAATTGCCTGTAATTTGGTATTTTAACTTCTCACTGGATAGTAAATCTTTCTACCAAAAATGATTGATATTGGTCGACTTTTAAGGGTAGCTCCCTTATAACCGTACCTCCCAAATTCCGATATTTTGAGGATCTTGGGTTCGATTTTCAAACGATTTGGCTGTAATTTGGTATTTTGGCTTCTCATTGGTTAGGAAATCTGTGTACCAAAAATGATTGATATTGGTCGACTTTTTAGGATAGCTCCCATATAACGCAGCCTCCCGAATATCGGAATATTGGGGATCTTGGGCTCGATTTTCAAACGAATTGACTGTTCTTTGGTATTTTGACTTCTCACTGGGTAGTAAATCTTTGTACCAAAAATGCTTGATATTGGTCGACTTTTAAGGGTAGCTCCCTTATAACCATACCTCCCAAATTTCGATATTTTGAGGATCTTGGGTTCGATTTTCAAACGATTTGGCTGTAATTTGGTATTTTGGCTTCTCATTGGTTAGGAAATCTTTACACTAAAAGTTATTAATATCCGTCGATTTTGTAGGATAGCTCCCATATAACGCAGCCTCCCGAATATCGGAATATTGGGGATCTTGGGCTCGATTTTCAAACGAATTGACTGTACTTTGGTATTTTGGTTTCTCATTAGGTAGAAAATCATCCTACCAAAAATTATCAATATAGGTCGATTTTTAAGGGTAGCTCCCTTATAACCGTACCTCCCAAATTCCGATATTTTGAGGATCTTGGGTTCGATTTTCAAACGATTTGGCTGTAATTTGGTATTTTGGCTTCTCATTGGGTAGCAAATCTTCCCACAAAAAATTATTAATATTGGTGAATTTTTTACCGTAGTTCCCATATAATGGTACCTTCCGAATATCGGAATATTGGGGATTTTGGGCTCGTTTTCCAACCGAATTGACTATAATTTGGTATTTTGGGTTCTCATTAGGTAGAAAATCATCCTACCAAAAATTATCAATATAGGTCGATTTTTTAGGGTAGCTGCCATATAACGCTTCCTCCCAAATTTCGATATTTTGATGACCTTGGGCTCGATTTTCAACCGAATAGGCTGTAATTGGGTATTTTGGCTTCTCATTGGGTAGCAAATTTTCGTACCAAAAATTTTTTTAATATTGGTCGATTTTTTAGGGTAGTTCCCATATAATGGTACTTTCCGAATATCGGAATTTTGAGGAGTTTTGGCTTGATTTTCAAGCGAATTGGCTGTAATTTGGTATGTTGGCTTCTCATTGCCTAGAAAATTTTCAAACAAAAAATTATTAATATTGGTCAATTTTTTAGGGTGGCTCCCATATAATCGTACCTTACGATTAAAGAAACTTCCATACTTTGAAACCTTCTACTGAAAAACTCACTTTTCAGACTTAGCATACTATGGTTCGGAGGCGTTGATATTTTGATCCAGTCTTAACAGAAGTCCCCATATAGCAGAACCCCAAAAAGTTCGGTATTTTAGAGAGTCTCCTTTATAACTTTAAATGCAAATATGTCAATATTTAATATGGGAACAATTTTTTTTCTCATCTGATTATTTCTACGGGAGCATTGAAAGGGTCCTTGAGCTCAGTCTCTTTTTTATTCCAAATTTTATGTGAGCTCCTTTACAACATTCAATGCTTATATATCCAGATATATAATTTTTTCAATGTCTTTTCAATAACTTTAAATGCAAATATGTCAAAATATTATTCATCTGATTTTTTTCCGAAGGTTCTTGACTTCTGATACCTGAAAGAAAATTTCCTTAAACAATATTTTTTATGGCTAGTAGTCAGTAGATTTTCTCTAGCAAATTATTTATTTATATATGCTTCTTCCCTCTTTCCCCTCCCTTCCTTAAAGGGTTTTTTTTGTGAAGATAAAATTGCTGTTGTTGCTGTTTACCCCATTCATGTACGAAAAACGTGATAAAAAGGTGATATCAGCAGATTTGTTTTCATTTTTTTCGTATGGGCAATTTAACACCACGCGGTATAATAAAATGCAGACAGATTGGTCAGCAAAAAATAACAAACAAATTTTTTTCTTTGTTGTTTTGGGAAATTTAATACTGGAAAAAAATTTTTGGGCGTTTTTCTACTCTACCCCGACTTGATCTCATGAGCAATTACAATAAATTTTCATGTTGTTATTTATTTTAAATTTATTGTTGTAGTTGTATTTTTTATTGTAAATTTGTTGTTATTGATTTTTTTTCTTTGTATTTTTCGTTATTCTCATCCACCCATTTTTCTTGGGTTCTTTTGTCCGTTTTTCTCTTTTTTCATTATAGGTAGTGTTTGCCTTTGCAACAACAGCATGTTCAAAGAAAACAAACGATTATGTGATAATGTTAAAAAATCACGAGAGGGCATTACATATAAATGCCGCCGGCAAAGTGACAGCAACAGATATATCATTAGCACGTAAGTATCTATCTATATATTTGATTTACACATACCATGCAAGGCATGTAAGAAGAAAATAATAAAAAAACACACAAGAGAACACACCCAATGTAAAGAAAAAAAAAAACGGCCCATAAAATACCAATATAAACCCCTCATTAGCAGTGCTATAAAAAAGTAATCACCTGAAGAGCAAGAGAGAGAGAGAAAGTTCTTTAATTATTACATTACAAGAGTTAAACACCTAATTGAGGGTGATCTCACATGGCATTGGATAACATAGAAAAAGAGCGAGAGAGAGATAAACTGAGAGCTTACTCTAAACGTATGACTAATTAACGGAACTTAATTGTTATATTACACACAGTTGTTAACACCTCTATTGGGCAAACGGTAATTGAAACAAAAGGAAAGAGAAAGGCAGATAATGAGAGAGAAGGCCTCAGTGATATTTCTCTGGAAGAACAAAAGAAAACAACGTGAAATAATAACGGCATTCTTTGATCATCAACGAGACAAGTGTTATGGCCACACTTGAGAGAGAGAGATTTAATTTACAATTAATAACAACTCTCGAAGAGCCCAACTCTCAAGTGTCTTGGTCGTTAATTCTGAAAGAGATTTTTTCAAATCTCTGTTTACCTACAACGAAGAAAACAACTCATCCTCCACCTTAAGTCATTACTTGTTGTAAATTTACAAGGTGTGATTAACACCCGCTAAAGAAGATCCTGTGTTAAATACACACACGAAGAAAAAAAGGGTTTCATGATTGTGTTTGCCAATATAACACACAACACTTAATGGGCATGTTCGTTCGTCCAAAAAAAAAAAAAAAAAAAAAACGAGACACTCACACTTACCTTTACACCTTTTCTTACAAAAAGTAAATAAATAAATAAAAAAATAAATAAATATTGAAAATAAGTGGGAAAAACTCTGGTGGCAAGGCGTCGAAAGTCATGTCGTCGTCGGCGGCATTTTAACAAAAGCAAGACAATGCCAACAATGAGTTAACACACATACTACATACCTTAAATACACATACATACATGTTGGTAAATATAAGAAGAAGAAAATAAAAATTTTCTTCGTCTCGTATTTGCATACAAACAAATGGATTTAAAGAGTAAATAGATGAAGAAGAAAAATTAAGAAAATAAAAAAAGAAGTAGTGGAGAAATGTATGCAGTAGGCCTGATCACGAACAAGCCCTTTTTTACCAAAGACTACCTGAATTTGTGATAATGAGTTTTTTGAAAAAAAATCCTAAGAGAGTCAAAATGCTCTGGGACTTCTTCGGCTTCTGTTAAGCCTTGACAATAATCTTTTTTCGGTCCAATTTTTTATTCTAAAAGGTCTTAGATTAATAACTTAAAATGCAAATATGTCAAAATAGGGTCTAGGACTTCTTATGGGTAGGCTCCATCAAATGGTAGGTTCCAAAGGTTTAGAATTAATAACTTACGCCAAAATCTGATTTAAAAATCATTGACAAATTCCAAATGATGTCAAAATTCTGGATAACTTCTTATTGGGTTCGTGCCAATTGGGTTCTGAAAATTGTACTCCATCTAATAGTGTATTCCATTTAGATCAATAACTTTAAATGAAAATACGTCAAAATAAGCTTTCAAAAATTTAAAAATGCTGTAGGACTATTTATGTCTTGTTTATAATATTTTTTCTCAGAACTTTAAACTTTTACTCGATCCAGTTTTAGGTTCTAAAATGTTTAGAATGAATAACTTTAAATACAAATACGTCAAAATATGGTTCAAAAATCTGGGAAGAAAATTCCTAATATAATCAAAATTCTGGAGAACTTCTTATGGGTTGTAAAAGTCTTGCCAGAAGGGTCCTTAAAATTGTATTCGATCCAACTTTTATATATTATATTAGGACTTAGATTAATAACTTTAAATGCAAATACGTCAAAATAGAGTTCAAAACCCTTGGAAGAAAATTTAAAACATAGTCAAAATGCTGGAGAAATTATTCTGGGTCTTAGAAGACTTGCCAATAGTGACTTGAAAATTTAACTCGATCCATATTTGTATTCCATGAGGACTTAGATGTATAACTTTAAATGCAAGTACGCCAAAATAGGGTTCAAAAACTTCTTAGGGTTTTTAAAAGTCTTGCGAATAGAGATTTGAATATTTACTCGGTCCAATTATAGGTTCCAAAATGTTTAGAATTAATAACTTTAAATGCAAATACGCCAATATAGGGTTCAACATTTTTGAAAGACAATTCCAAACGTAGTCAAAACGCTGGAGGACTTCTCAATGGGTTTAAAAGTCTTGCCAATTGGGTATAATCAATTTTAGTCGATCCAATTTTACATTTCTGAAAGACTTAGAAGATTAACTTTAAATGCAAATAAGCCAAAATAGGGTCCAAAAATATTAGAGGAAATTTTCAAACATAGTCAAAATGCTGGAGAACTTCTCTTGGACTGCAAAGGTCGTGCCTATAAGGCTCTGAATTTTACTCTATCCAATTTTGTATTCAATTAGGATTTAAATAAATAACTTTAAATGCAAATACGTCAAAATAGGATTCTAAAATCTTTGAAAAAATTCAAAATGTTGTACGACTTTTTATGTCTTCTCAATAATTTTTTTTCCGAACTTCGAATTTTTACTCTATAAAAAATGTTTGACTCTCAAGGTTTACGAATAATAACTTTAAATGCAAATACGTCAAAATAGGTTTCGATGATCTTTGAAAAAATCAAACACATTCAAAATATTGTAGGTCTTTTTATGTCTTGCCAAGAATATTTTTAATTCGTTACTCGATCTGATTTGAAATTAAAAAAGGTTCTGTATCAATATCTTTAAATGCAAATACGTCAAAATTTGACTCAAAACCTTTAAAATACTATAGAATTTTCTCTGAAGTTTTAACATTTTCTCAATAATATTTTTCTCGGGGCACGATCCAATTTGATATTCTATACGAACTACGGATGAATAACATTAAATGCAAATACGCCAAAATAGGTTTTAAAGAAAGATTTTACTCGATTCAATTTTGGTTTACAAAAGGTCTAGGATTATTAACTTTAAATGCAAATACGCCAAAATATGGTTGAAAATCTTTAAAATACTGTAATTTTTTCTCCGAAGTTTAAACATGGACAATAATATTTTTCTCGGGGCTCCATAAAGTTTGATATTCCAGACCGACTACGGATGAATAACTTTAAATGCAAATACGGCAAAATAAGGTTTGAAATATTTTTTTTTATAAAATTCCAAAGAGAGTCAAAATTCTGCAGGATTTCTTATCAATAATATTTTTCTCGGGGGCTTCGAATTTTTTACTTAATCCGGTTTAATAACTTTAAAAGGAAAGGAGTTCATTAAATCCTTCTCTGCCAGCTTTGGGTATATATTTTTTCAAATAACTCCCCTGAACTTCTCACACCGAAAAAATTGCAAATTCATTTCGGCAATTGTGATACCAAATCACAATTACGCCTAAGATATGGCAAATACCAAAATCATTTTCAATTTCTTTTTAATAGACAACACAGTTTTGAGTACCTCAAAAAAACCTACAGATAATGAATCTTTCATTGATTTTCTATTTATAGCCCTCCAAAAAAATATTTTCATTCAACTTATATTCCATTCCATTTTTTATCTTATATACCACAATTAAAAAAAAATAGCAAAAAAATACACAAATCACTTGTGTACGTATGTTTACACTGAACAGCTTATTTTATTATTATGATTATTTGTGATTTGGTTATATGGGGACATGCCTTTATGGCCAATGACGTCAAATGTTGTTGGTCAGTCGAACAAATCGAACGAAGAACATCATAAAACTAAAGACGTCATCAATGTCACGCTGAAAACCCAATGGCTTATGGTTTTTTATACCCTTCACCACACTGTGGTACAGGGTATTATGTCTTTGTGCATATGTTTGTAACAGGCAAAAATAATCGAGATAGACACATGGTTCCTTTTGAGAATATGCATAGAATCACTTTCTAAGTCGATTTATGCATGTCCGTCCGTCCGTCCGTCCGTCTGTCCGTCTGTCCGTCTGTCCGTCTGTCTGTCCATGTTAAATTGTAAACAAAGTACAGGCCGCATTTGTTATCCGAATTGGATGAAAATTGGCACAGGTCACTTATTCGGCCCAAGGACGAACCCTATTGAAATTGGGAAAAATCGGTTCAGATTTAGATATAGCTCCCATATATATATTTAACCGATTTAATGTAAACGGTCCCTATATATCTTTCGATTTGCACGAAATTTGGTACAGCCTAATCATTTAGGTCTAGAATGATGTCTGCCAATTTTCGTGAAAATCGGTCCAGATTTAGATATAGCTCCCATATATAGTTTCGTCCGATTTCATGTAAATGGTGCACCAAAATCCCTATATATCCTTCGATTTGCACCAAATTTGGCATAACGTACTGAATTGACCCTAGAATTATGTCTGCCAAGTTTCGTGAAAATCGGTCCAGATTAAGATATAGCTCCCATATATAGTTTCGTCCGATTTCATGTAAATGGTGCACCAAAGTCCCTATATATCCTTCGATTTGCACGAAATTTGGCATAACGTACTGAATTGAGCCCAGAGTCATGTCTGCCAAGTTTTGAGAAAATCGGTTCAGATTTAGATATACCTCCCATATATAGTTTCGTCCGATTTAATGTAAATGGTGCCCCAAAGTCCCTATATATCTTTCGATTTGCACGAAATTTGCCATAACGTACTAAATTAAGCCTAGAGTGATGTCTGCCAAGTTTCGAGAAAATCGGCCCAGATTTAAATATAGCTCCCATATACAGTTTCGTCCGATTTCATGTAAATAGTGCACCAAAGTCCCTATATATCCTTCGATTTGCACGAAATTTGGCATAACGTACTGAAATGAGCCTAGAGTGATATCTGCCAAGTTTCGAGAAAATCGGTCCAGATTTCTATATAGCTCCCATATATAGTTTCGTCCGATTTCATGTAAATGGTGCACCAAAGTCGATATATACCTTGCGATTTGCACGAAATTTGGCATAACGTACTGAATTGAGCCTAGAGTGATGTCTACTTTTTTCGGGAAAATCGGTCCAGGTTTAGATATAGCTCCCTTTTATTATAGATTGATTTTAAGTAATTGACGCACCAAGGAACCAATGAGCTGATAGGAACAAAACTTTCTGAAATTAGAACAAACTAATCTGTGACAAGTTTGTTTCAAATCGCTTAATATTTGGATAGAGCTTCCATATATATTTTCCTCCGGTTTCAGGTAAATTGGGCATCAAACTCCTCATGTTAGTCAGATTGACATCAAATTTTGCACAACTTACAAAATTGAGCATAGAATTACGTAGTTGCGTTTTCCAGAAGTACAGACATAGCCCAACGGATGACCTATTTATATTTGTTTGAAGTCGATTTACATACTTTATGGATATATCTAGGTAGATTCACATTTAAATAAATATCAACTATTTTTGTTCATCCAATTTCATTTTAATGGTCCTGTTGAATACACCCAAAGTGGTGAAGGGTATCATAAAGTCGGCCCCGTCCGACTTTACTACTTTCCTTACTGGTTTTGGAATGTGTACTTGGTTACCTATACATCTAGCCAGATTAGGTTTAGCAGCAAAAACTTTGAATGGATGTATTTTTTTTCATTGGTTTTATTCTTTTGTTTTTGATTTCAAATTTATTTTGTTTTTTATAAGTTATTGATTTACGTTACTTTGGAGATTTATTAGGGTGGCGCCCAATTGTTTTGTGTTATATTTAATAGAGTTATTTTGCAGAGACTTTGGCTTATAAGTTAAGGGATTATTTATGGCATTTCATTTCGGAGAAAATGTCGAGGTCTTCTAAAGAGGCTAAAGAGGAATTTAAGATAAGGAAGAAATTTGGCAAACAATTCCAATCTTTTTTATTAAATATTTAAACAAAACTTTGGGAGAAATCTTGTGATGCATCAAGGAGCAGCGATATTTTCATATCGATTTTTGGGTATAGGTTTTATGTTTTTTGGTTTAGGTGAATGTCTCTCCTTTAGAGAAAAGATTGTGCTATAAATAATTTATTTTATGCGAAAATTATCATGCCCAGGGGCTTTGAGAGAAACGTATTATACATCAGGGGGCATCGATGATTCCTTACAATTTTTTTGTATAGATTATAACTTTAAATGCAAATACGTCAAGAAACAAATTTTCACTTAGGGCTTAGATCAATGTCTCTCTTCTGGAGAAGATATTTCGCCAAAAATAATTTAATTTATTCGAAAAATAACTTGTCCAGGGGCTTCGGGAGTATCGTATTATACGTCAAGAGGCATCGATGATTCCATATCATAATTTTTTGTATAAGTTATAACTTTAAATGCAAATAGGCCAACAAATAAATGCTCACTTAGGGTTTAGATCAATGTCTCTCTTCTGGAGAAGATATTTCGCCAAAAATAATTTAGTTTAGTCGAAAAATAACTTTACCAGGGGATTTGAGAGAAACGCATTATTCCTCAGGGGGCATCGATGATTCCTTTGCAATGTTTTTGTATAGATTATAACTTTAAATGCAAGTAGGCCAAGAAATAAATTCTCACTTAGGATTTAGATCAATGTCTCTTCTCCGGAGAAGATATTTCGCCAAAAATAAGTTAGTTTATTCGAAAAATAGCATGCCCAGGGGCTTTGAGAGAAACGCATTATTCCTCAGGGGGCATCGATGATTCCTTTGCAATTTTTTTGTATAGATTATAACTTTAAATGCAAGTAGGCCAAGAAATAAATTCTCACTTAGGGTTTAGATCAATGTCTCTCCTCTGGAGAACATATTTCGCCAAAAATAATTTAGTTTAGTCGAAAAATAACTTGTCCAGGGGCTTTAAGATAAACGTATTATGCATCAGGGAGCAGCGATGATCCCTTAGGAAATATATCTATTATTTTCCTAAACCTTGAAGCTTCGCAGTTCACTGACTTCTAAATGCAAACTACACCTTTTATAGATAGTCGGTATTTAAGTGACCCAATTTCTCCTTGAATTGGTATTTAAAAATAAATATCATAAATATTACCCAAAATTTGTTATCTCAAAAAAATTTTTCCCTAATGATAATCTATTATACCATATTTTCAAATAATGATGATGGAAAACGAACACGCTGACATTGACATTCCAATGAAAATATAATTTTGCAAATAAAAAAAAACTGAAATTTATTACATGCCTAGAATATTTCCGGAGTTATCAATAATCTATCAAAAGAATTATTTATTTCCAAGTGACATGCTTTTTCTAATAAATAATGAAAACAAGAAAACATATCTTAAACAAAATTCCATAGATAAGAAGTGAGGCTATCTCTGCACGTTATGCTTAGCAGGTGCTGATTGTCTCTCTATTTAAATCAATCATTGGAAACATAAATTTAACCAAAACCCAAAAAGTTTAATTCTATGAATGACAGTTACTGTGGGAATTCTACTTGAATTTCCACTTGAAATTTTGGCAGCCGCTTGCCCATCGACCTGCCTGACTGCCTACATGCCGAACCATTGACGTTGTTATGGCCATAAATATTGATAGGTATTTTGCCAAAACTAAATCTATTCATAAATTTCAGTTTAAAAATATAATAAATATATCAAAACACAAACAATAATAATAGTAGTATTGAAAATAATAATAATAATAACAATAACCTCCGCCGCTTGGCAAGAACAAAAACAAATCAGCCAGCCAACAACTTTTCTACATATGTTATAACTCTTCACGATAAAGAGCCCATTAAATTCTTTTTTTTTCATTTTTTGATAAAATTCCATGAAAATCAATGAGACACACACACACTCAACAACAATAATAAATATATATCTGTATATTAAGGCTAGACGACAACAAAAACTGCAATACCCGGCAGCAGCAATTAAAAGACGCCCCATACATGCTATTGCGTAGTGTATAAAAATATCGAAAGACTTTTTTTGGGGGAAGAATATTTGGAACCTCTGTTTTTTATATCCAAGGGGGGCTTGTGTACTTACTGTTATTTTTGGACTACACATGTCTAAATTTACAAAATCGTAAAAAAAAAACCCAAACACATGTATGCCTGCAATAATGGGTCAGGGCAGAGCGCAAAACACAATGGTAATCAATTACAGGCATGTTTCATAATATATTTAAGCCCTGGCCCCTTATGGTCTAAAGCTGGTTAATTAGGGGAGACAAAGTCGGGGATTTGGGTTTTTTGTGTGTGTTCATTTTTTTCAGCTCCAAGGGGTCTGCAATGCAAAGCCGAAAAAGAACATGTGGTCATGAGTATGGAAACTTTGGGTTTCTAATCATTTCAGGAAGTGACTCAGTTTTTTTTCTTTCGAAAATAACTTTAAATACAAATATGGCAAGAAAATATTTACCTTCTGAAAGACAAAACGAATTTCGATTCTCTTCCCCTTATCTCTCTTCTAAAAAAGTCATTTCCCTGGAAAAAAATACAGTTTATGATCAAAAATAACTTGTCTGTGGCCACAGGAAGAAATCATGTGATACATTAGGGATCAGCGAGGTTTTCATACCAAATTTTGTGATAAAGATTAAAAGTCTCTGGCTTAGATCAATGCCTCTCCTCTATAGAAGATATTTCTCCAAAAATAATTTACTTTATTCGAAAAATAACTTGCCCAGGGGCTTTGAGATAAACGTCTTATGCCTCTGGGAGCAGCGATGATTCCTTAGCAACTTATTTGTATAGATTATAACTTTGAATGCAAATATACCAAGAGATAAATTCTCACGTAGGGTTTAGAGGAATGTCTCTCCTCTCGAGAAAATATTTCGCCAAAAATAATTTAGTTTATTCGAAAAATAACTTGTCCAGGAGCTTTGAGATAATCGTCTTATGTGTCAGGGGGCAGCGATGATTCCTTAGCAATTTGTTTGTATAAATTATAACTTTAAATGCAAATAGGTCAATAAACATATTCTAACTTAGGGATTAGATCAATGTCTCTCCTCTGTAGAAGATTTTTCGCCAAAAATAATTTAGTTTATTCGAAAAATAACATGCCCAGGGGCTTTGAGATAAACGCATTATGCCTCTGGGGGCAGCGATGATTCCATATCAAAAATTTTTGTATGGATTATAACTTTAAATGCAAATACGTCAAGAAACATAACCTCACTTATGATTTAGATAAATGCCTCTCCTCTGTAGAAGATATTTCGCCAAAAATAATTAATTTTTTTCTAAAAATAACTTCTCCAGGAGCTTTGAGATAATCGTATTATGCCTCTGGGGGCATCGATGATTCCATATCAATTTTCTTGGTATAGGCTATAACTTTAAATGCTAATAGGTCAAGAGACATAACCTCTCCATGGCGTTTAAGAGTCTCTCATATCAGGAGACAGCTTTGCTATGAGAGATTTTGCGATTTATCCAGGGTTCCTCGTAAGGGTTCCTGGCTTACATCAAGATGGATTGCTAATATTTCTCTTGACAATTTGTTACAAATTTTTAATGAAAATCCTTATTTGTTTGTTTTTTTTACTGTGGGTGTGTTTACAGCTTCGAATTTCTATTTTTTTTTATACATTTTTAAATAATTTTTAAAATTTATTTTCTTCTCTACTTTTTGCAGAATTCTTCACAATGGAAAGTGTTACCGATGCCTTAAGCGATACATTCCGAATTGCTTTATACGTAAAAGAAGTAGGACGTTATCTATGCTTTCGCCGGGGGAAATTAGTTGGAATGGTAAGTTTCGGATTTCTTAAAAGAAAAACTACAAGAATAATATGTAGGTCAGAGTAATTTGAAGAGGCAGAGAGAGAGGGACGTTTAAAAAATATCCGCTGTAACAATTTAACTTTAAATGAGCTAAAATTTTACTTTTACGTTGGGCGCCATCTGCTTTTTACTTCAAATTTAATCTTACATTTTTGGTATTTAGAAAATCTTAACCTTAATTTGATTGGAAATGTTATATATAAAGTTTTAACTTTCAATAATAATTATTTGGGCGCCACTTTTTCTAAATTCGTAGGACTTTTGGAACATTGTGCTAAAAATTTTGATGCGCTATAGGTATTTGGAGTTGTTACTTCCTTCTGCTGTGTATCTAATGTAACTTTAAATGCAAATATGTCCAAATTGGTTTACCACAAATCCCCACGTTGGGCGCCATTATTCTAAAATGTCTGGTATTTTGAAAATTCTAACCTTATTTTGAATGAAAGTGGTTAAGGTTGTATTTGGAGTCCTCGGAGAATTTCTCAACCTTTGTTTTTTTTAAATTTTTATTGAATATTTATTCATTTTTTGAAAGTTTTTTCAATTTTCTAATCTTTTTTTTTGTTTTTATTTTCTCTCATTACAGAAACACCTCAGTCGCGATTGTCATTTCATCGAAAAAATGGATCATGGCTATTTCCTGTATGCTAATGCCTACAACCCCCAATGGCGGGTGGGTTTCACACGAGGCCTCAAACCCGTGGGACCCCGCCACATGCAACGTCCTCAAACGTTGCGTAGAGCTTGCTTTTTATTTGTTAAAATTAATGCTGAGCATTTTGATAGAGATATGTTTACTACGACTAGTACGACAACAACAACAACCACGACCACAACAACAGTGGCAGCCCATAAAAATGTCATAGAATCAAGGAATCATCATAGTATAAGAGATTATGGTTTGGAGGAGTACGAAAGACGTTTGCTGGCCAAGGAAAGGAAAAATTATCGTACTGCTCATCGGCGGGATGGAGAGATGGTGGTGACACATGAATCGGGTAGTGGTGGCGGTCATCGCCATAGGCTGGGCACGGAGAATAGACGGCGTCCAAATCATCAAGCGGGAGGAGGAAATTTACCCCAGCCAAAAAACTTGAAAAGACCTCAGCCAACACCAAAGGCTGGGGAAGAAAGAAGAAAAAAATTCCAACGCGAAGAACACGTGCGCAAGCAACGTCTAAATGGCCAAAGAAAACGTAAACAGGTGGATCCCCACTATGAACCGAATTCGCAGAGCAGTAGGGGTGAGCAGGAAGAGCAGGGGAGGCATCATAGCAGTAGCAGCAGCAGTAGTTCGACTTCATCGTCAGCCTCAGTGACGGCCACTTCATTGGCGGCCACAGCCTCCTTGGCCCCCTCCGCCCTCAATTTGGTGGCCATGTTGGCTGCCAGCCGACGGAAAAGAGGTAGAAGAAAGAAGGAGGAGGAGGAAGAGGAGCAGCAGTCAAATTCCGAAAAATCCAGCTCTGCAAATGCTGATTTACAGTTGGTTAGTCAGGATGGCAGTGCAGAAGAGGAAGAGCTATATGATTTGCCAGAGCCAGAAAAAAGAAGAAGAAAAATGCATTTCCATCATCCTGAGCATAGCTATTATCAAAAGCAGCCGGAGCAGCAGCAACAACAAACCACACCTGACACCCATTTTGTACAGCCACAAAACCATAAATACTCAAATAGCAATGCTAAGAAATTCCATAGTCATAATCATAGTAATATTAACAGTAATAATAATAATTATAGTCGAAATAGCCGAACTAGCCATAGCCAGGAAGAAGAAGATAAAAAAGAAAGAGAAGATGATAAAGAACCTAGCCATAGTTTTAGTATTAGTCATAATAATCATAATTATTTAAACGATAATCATTTAACGAAATTAAATACGAATATTAATAATAGTTCTAATGCTAATGCAATATTACCTGCCTTGCCAAAAAACTTCAATAATAACAATAACAACAACCACAGCCACAATAATCAACAAGAAAATGAAGAAAAAAATCTAAATTTAATGACTGATTTTCAACAATTCACCACACCACCCACACCTGCATCAATAACAGCTGTTTCTCAGCAGCGTCCGCATCACCATCAACGGCCACGGCCTCGGCATCATCATCAACGTCGTCAACATAGTAATGACGGCGTTGAAAATATATCACCATTACGGCGTCAACGCCATAAACGGGATGTACGGTTAACTACTCAACACACAACAACAACACCATCAGTAGCAGAAGCAGCAACAACAACACAAACAAAACCATTAACTAGTCACACACACAGCCCTTTACTCGTGCCCACTGAGTTGAGGCGAAATGTAAACAAAGAAAATCACCTCTCCGAGCCGTTATTCAATGCGAGAGCAAGCAAAGAGAGCCGTCGTATGCATGCAATGAGATCGGCCCCCTTGTTCAATGGGGGAGAAGAAAGCAAAGAGAGTCATGTCCGTGCAATGCAATCTTCTCCGTTATTAAGTGGGGGAGAAAGCAAAGAGAGCCGTCGTGTGCATGCAATGGGATTTTCTCTATTATTCAATGGTGAAGCAAATGAAGACAAAGATGGGCATGCAATGAATTCATCTCCGTTATTTAATGGGGGAGTTAATAAAGAGAGCCTTGTAATGAGAGTTAACTATGAGAGTGATGATGATGATGCTGATGATAATGAGAAACTACTGTATGTGAGTGGTAGTAGTAGTGGTGTGGGTGATGTCGATGATGAAACTAACAATAAATTCAATAGACTTTTAGATAATAATAATGAAAACAAAAACAAAAACAACAATAACAAATATTTACGAGAGGACAATAATTTTTTTCTTCAGCAGCAGCAACAGCAACAAAGGTGGCCTTTAGGGTTGCCATTTAATCGCTTAAAAAATCTTAATTATTACCATAATCGAATAAGTTCGTATTACAATACGAACACAATTAGTTCTATGATAAAATTACGAAAACAAAAACAAAATCCACAACAACAACAGCAACAACAAAACATTCCAAAAGAGCATAATAATAATATTATTGTTAAACACATACAGTCTGATGCTAATCCTATAAAAATCAGGTATAATAAGGCCAATTATCTAAATGAAAAAATAGCAACAACAACAAAAACAACAACACCTATAAATAATAATAACAATATTATTATTACTAATATTAATTATAAATATAACATGCCTAACAAGAGTTTTAGCGGTATTTTCTCTCAACTAAATGTCATTGATAATAATAATATGAGACATAATAGCCATAAACGTCATAGGAGTAGTAGTCGTAGTCGTAGTAGTGGTAGTAGCCGTAGTAAAAGTAGTCGAAATGCCACCATCAAAAAGACAAATGTTAATAACAATATTACCGGGCATAATGTTATAATAATTAGTAATGTTTTAAATAATGATGACATTGATGTTAATAATAATACAACAATAACAACAACAACAAAAAATAATCATTTTAGTAATACTGCTGCAGCTGCAACTGCCACAGCGGCTTCAACGGCTTTTCAAACCAGATTTGTGCTTGGCCAAAAAAATATGTATAGACAGCTTCAGCAAAAGCAACAACAACAAGTTATTGATAATAAATTTATAACTAACACTAATTTACATAATAATAATAATATTAATGTTCATTATATTTATAATCATAATAATAATAATTATATGGAGAATGATGTCAATGCAGATGATGATGATGACGATGACGACGAAGAAGACGATAAAAATGTTTATGAAAATTTCATAAAAAATAAATATGAAAAAATTATAGTACAATACAGATCTGTAGTTCAAATTATTTAAAAACAAAAAAAAATGGAAAATTTTAATTAAAGGAAAAAAGAAAAAAAAAAAAAAAACAAAAAAGTAAGTATAGAAGGGGAAAAATTACAAGAAAAGGGGAATTTAAAATAAGAAAAAAAATTCAAAACCACATTAAACAAGTGAAAAAGCGGTAAGTTCGGCCGGGCCGAACTGAGGATACCCTCCACCATAGATATAATGACAGGTACTTGAAATGAAAATATAGGGAAAATATCAAAAGGCGGACTCATACCGACATTTCTACAAACCGATTATGTAAACCATGATATAAATTTCAGAAATTTTTAATGGATAATTATACCTCAGCCATATGGCTCATGAGGTATACACTTTGACACGTTGGAAATGAGCCTCATCGAAATATTGGTTCTAGACCCCATGTTTCTTTGGACCAAATTTGTTTCAGAAATTTTTTATTTCATCCAAAATATTGGCCATCTTCTTATTTTTTCCAAACTTAGTTCATGTTCGAAGATGGGGAATTCGGTCCACTCCTTCTGGTACCTCCCACACAGGGGTTAGGCCTAAACTTACGGGTTTAGAACCAAACCAGAGTCTTAGAACCAAACCCAAAACGCGGAACAAATTGCATAACTATTTTAGTATAAAAAAGAGGGTTATGTGGAGACTACCCCAAAAAAGGGGCGAATGTTAATAATTTTTTGTAGGGAAATTTGTTACCATATACGACTACAAAATACCAAATTTCAGCGAATTCGGTTGAAAAACGCGCTCAAGAACCCCAAAATACTGAAATTTGGGGGTACTCTTATATGGGGGCTACCCGAAAAAATTGACCTATGTTCATAATTTTTTGTGGAGATATTTGGCATATGTGGCGTAGGGGATGATAGATACCAAGCAACGGCTCTGATTAGCTTTAACATGGCGAAGCCCAGGCTTATCTTGGTCCCTCTTTCATCTCAATTGTGGACACTGACCTCCCCGCGGTGCCACCTGGGGAGCTATTCTCATCACCCGATGAAATAGTGAGCTAATATGTGCCGCGAGTTCACCCATAAGAACTATAAAAAAATGGGTTGAGGCGTCGGGTTAGTTGCCCACTCTCGGAAAACCCAACCTACTATGAAAAAGCAAAGAAAAAGAAAACCAAACCCCCCTAATGTTGACGACCCCCGCAAACGTATAAAGGACCACGATCTGCGAATCTGCACTTGGAATGTGCGCACGCTATACAGAACAGGGGCAGTGTTCGCTTTGGCGGATATACTCAAGAAGTACAAAGCCGATATTATTGCCTTACAGGAAATGCGATGGAAAGGGACAGGCGTAAGTAAATCAGACGATTACGCCCTGTATTATAGCTGCCATGAAACGAGACATGAATTTGGCTGCGGATTTATGGTTAACAGGAGAATAAAAGACCTTGTCTCCAGATTCACTCCAGTAGATGAGCGAATTGCTATAATCCGTATAAAAGCGAAGTTCTTTTACATCAGTCTAATTTGCGCCCATGCTCCGACCGAAGATAAAGATGAACAGACCAAAGATATATTTTATGAGCGCCTAGAAACAGCATATGACCGTTGCCCTGGCCATGACATTAAAATTCTGCTAGGAGATTTTAATGCAAAAATCGGAAGGGAAAATATCTTTGGCCCCACCGTCGGAAAATTCAGCCTTCATGAAGAAACATCCGATAACGGCATGAGGTTGATTGACTTCGCGGCAGCAAAAAACATGGTAGTTAGCAGCACCAGATTCAAGCATCTCGATATACACAAGGCCACCTGGATTTCTCCTGATCAAGTAACGAGAAATCAAATTGATCATGTTGTGATAGACGGAAGGCATGCATCCAGTGTTTTAGACGTCCGATCGATCCGAGGAGCGAATATCGATTCGGACCATTACCTTGTGGCAGCCAAGGTACGCACCCGTCTAAATGTTGCAGCAAAGGTGCGATCTAATACAACACGGAAACTCGACGTCGAAAAGCTGCAAGCACAACAGGTAGCCGAGGCCTACTCCGCTCAACTTACCCATCTGCTTGAAGAAAGCACTTCTTGTCCCGGTAATAGTATAGAAGCACAATGGCAAAGAATTGCCCACTCCCTACAAACTGCAGCAAAAAGAACAATTGGGTACCAAAAACCACCACCAAGAAACCCATGGTACGATCAGGAGTGTCGTATTGCTACTGATGTGAAAAACGCAGCGTATAGGGCAACCCTGCAGACAGTAGCAACACGTAACGTGATGGAGAATTATCGGGAGAAAAGGAGAGAGGAGAAACGTGTTTTCAGAAAAAAGAAGAAAGAACAAGAAAAACGTGAGCGTGAGCAAATCGAGATGTACAGGAGTCAGAATGAAGTCCGGAAATTTTACCAACGAGTAAAACACCAAACCGAAGGCTTTGGTGCAGGCACATCCTCCTGTAGAGATGAAGAAGGAAACCTGGTGACAGATACAGACAGCGTGTTGAGGATCTGGAAGGAGCATTTCGAAAAGCTGCTAGTATCAAATAGTGGCGATGAAGAAGATACCCCATAGCCAATAATAGATGACGGTATAGAGTGTATACCACCTAGCCAAGATGAAGTCAGAATAGCAATCAATCGGCTGAGGTGATAAGACGATATGTGCCAACTATAGAGGAATAAGTCTCCTTCCCATCGCATATAAAGTGCTATCCAGTGTGCTGTGTGAACGATTGAGCCAATGGTCAATGACATCATCGGACCATACCAATGCGGCTTCAGACCTGGCAAATCGACCATAGACCAGATTTTCACTCTGCGCCAAATCCTGGAAAAGACCCACGAAAAACACATCGACACATATCACCTATTTGTCGACTATAAAGCCGCATTCGACAGCCCTATCCGTTCAGAGGTGTTTAAAGCCATGTCTGCGTTCGGCATTCCTGCAAAATTAATACGGCTATGCAGGATAACTTTAAGTGGCACAAGGTCAGCCGTTAAAGTAGGAAAGGACCTATCGGAGCCCTTCACTACCGAACGAGGATTCAGACAAGGTGACAGTTTGTCGTGTGATCTTTTTAACATCCTACTGGAAAAGGTCATACGAAACGCAAAGGTGAACAGAAATGGCACTCTGTACACCAAACAACACCAGTTACTCGCCTACGCCGATGACATCGATATAATGGGTCGAACATTGCGAGCGGTAACAGCCACCTTTGAACAAATTGAAAAGGAGTCTGCCAAAGTGGGTCTGGCAGTAAACGGCGAGAAGACCAAGCTGATGGTATCAACGCGCAAGACGTCCTGTAGACTCGGACCAACTGTGGAACTTGAGAACTACAGCTTCGAGGTAGTTAAAGACTTTATATACCTTGGTACCGCCATAAATAAAACGAATGATATCAGTTTTGAAAT